GCAAGTGTGATTTAAAAAGAATAGCTACAAAAATATTAGATGCAGCTTACAGGTATGTGGTGCTATGGTAAGCTAATTTTATAACAGGCCCACGGGCAACTCATGTGATCCTCATGGGGGATCCCCATGTTGGTGACCCCTGCGTTAAACCAAGGTCCTGACTCTTGGTGGTCATTAAAAATCCCATGACACTTTTAGTAAAGAGTACGGGTGTAACCCCACAGTGTCCTGGCCAAATTCCCTCCTTCAGCCCTTAAACTGCTTTTCCACTGGACACAACTGTCAGAATGCACCCCTTGGAGGGAATGTGGAGACAATATTAAAAACCTATTTTTTTATTACTTATGAATAGAAATGTTTTTTAAAATAAACTTTTTTTTCTAATAATAAAAAAAATAAAGGAAATTTTTTTTTATTTTTCATAACCGCACACATGGATCAGCTTGGGCAACACTGGAATACATCACATCTTGTCGACTGGTCGCATATGATCTAGTAGAGAGGGTCAAATAATTTAAGTGGTCCGCAGCGCAAATCAGATCCAAATTTTTTACATACGGAGATGGTCAGTATCACTGTCTTTTCACTCCACTTATAGCTGGTTTGTGGTGAGCGCACTGGTGCCTTTGTCATGTGGCTTCCATCGCATCATCCAAGTGGAAGCTGCACACTGGTGGTAGTGTGGAGAGACCCCCCTCACTTTGTGTGTATGGCCATACCTAATCAATGCGCTAAATAGACACTACAAATGTGCTACATCATATAGAATCACAAGCTTGCAATACAATTTTTCCACTTTTCCATATCATTTATAATAATATAATATAAGGGTGATGCGGTGGCGCAGTAGCTAGTACTGTCACCTCACAGTAAGAAGGCTGCTGGTTCGAGCCTCAGCTGGGTCAGTTGGCGTTTCTGTGTGGAGTTTGCATGTTTTCCCTGCGTTCGCGTGGGTTTCCTCCAGGTGTTACGGTTTCCCTCACAATCCAAAGACAAGGGGTACAGGTGAATTGGGTAGGCTAAATTGTATGTGGGGTATGAGTGTGAATGAGCGTGTGTGGATGTTTCCCAGAGATGGGTTGCAGCTGGAAGGGCATCCACTGCGTAAAACATATGCTGGATAAATTGGCGGTCCATTCCGCTGTGGCAAACCCAGATTAATAAAGGCACTAAGCCGAAAAGAAAATGAATGAATGAATAATATAATATATAAAAACATATATTTTAAAGGGAACAAAGGCTTTCAACTAATACACAAACAGATTACATATTTCAAAAATGAATAATGGAAAAATGAAACATTCTGTTCATAAATGAGCTGAAAACAGCAAAACATGTCCACCTGGCCTTACATTAAAATATAAACTGTTTACTTCTAGAAATAAAATGCTCAAGTTCTGTTCAGCGCTAATCTGCCTGTTAACATGAGCAGAAGTGAACTTGACTGACCCATGAACAGCATTTCTGGAACCCCTGAACTGGATTCCTGTAGTAAAGTGGGTCAGGGGGAGAGAGAGAGAGCTCATCTTTCATTGCACTGGCTAACAGGAAATGGACTACCACTTACAACACAGGGCCAGTTAAGAAAGAAAAATTTCAATGTTTTCTTAAAGTTCTAGAACTGGGATCTCCAGAAACTGTGTTTAAACTGATCTCTAGAGCCGTTCTCGATGCAGCAGAGGCAAAAACAAACAGCGGTGAGGCATTCCAACCACTGTCGCAGCATGTCAAACGAGACCTGCAGATCACAAAAAAGAAATGCGTTTCTTGGGACATGCACATCAGAGTAGAACCATTCACGGAAACTACACCCGAGAAGTAACTCAACACGGCTCTACTGTGCCAGTCAAATCGTTCTGGAATACTGTTCAAACTGTAAGAAGGTGTTAGAGTTTCAGTGGATCACTCTTTTCAGTTCAACAGTCTTGGATAAGCACTGCTGTGGAAATGGATCTTGATTGCTGTAGTGGACGGATCGGTAACCTGTATATAAAGACTGCGTTCAGTCCAGATCATCTTGAAGGCCATGTGCCTAAATGCTTCAGTCACTACTATGTGAGTGGCTGATTAGGAAAAACAAAGCATTGACTGATAGCATTTACTTTTAGGTTGGATGATGTTAAAAAAATGCGAAGGCAACAACAAAACTAAATATTAAAAAATTCAAGTTTCCTATCTAACAATAAACACTTTAACTACTCTATAAATAAAAAAACAGAGCTACTTTAATACTCTGTAGCTGAATACTGGCAAAACAACACATATTAAGAAAAATTCCAAGGTCCAAATAACCTTGTACCATATTATCATAGGTCTCAAACTTGATCCCTGGAGGGCCGCAGCTCTGCAGTTTTGCTCCAACCCAATTCAAATGAGAGACTAAAGCAGTTGTGAGTTGAAGGTGGTTGGAGCTAAACTATGCAGAGCTGCAGCCCTCCAGGAATTGAGTTTGAGACCATATAGTTATTAAAAAAAATTAAGATTTCCTTTCAGCAAGCTTTTTTTGTGTGTGTTTTTTAAATATCTAGATGTCTAAATATAGACATCCTGGCTAAAACGAGGCTAAATTTGGGCTGTTGATGAAAATCTAATAAATTAGAAAAGTCTTAGAATAGGTTTGTCATCAAACACACATAAAGGACTATGTGTAGTCGGTTTAATCAGTGTATTTGATGACTTGTCTACTTCTGGGTTATTTTTTGACATATATTAGATTTTAGTCACTTGACTGATTTTCAAGGCCCAAATTTAGCCTTGTTTTGGCTAATCCATCTATGTTTAAACGTCTATAAAACATGAAATTGCTTGGTTGGATGAATTCTCTAAAGTTCAAACGTTGGTCCTGTTTTCTAAAACATAATAAAAACATGCCTGACAACGTGGCACCTTTTTTTGTTAAAAGCTCTTTCATTCATTCCTTTTCCTTCGGTTTAGTGCCTTTATTCATCAGGGGTCGCAACAGTAGACTGAACCACCAACATGTCCAGCATATGTTTTACACAGCAGATTCCCTTCCAGCTGCAACCCAGTACTGAGAAACATCCATACACACGTACACTATGGCCAATTTAGTTTATTCAATTAACCTATACCGCATATCTTTGGACTTGTGGGGGAAACTGGAGCACCCAGAGGAAACCTACATGAACAGGGGGAGAACATGCAAACTCCACACAGAAACGTCAACTGACCCAGCCAAAGCTTGAACCAGCGACCTTCTAGCTGTGAGGCAACAGCGCTACCCACTGCTCATACATTTTCCTTCGGCTTTGTCCCCGTTTATCAGTTGCCACAGCAGAATGAACTGCCAACTATTCCAGCATATGTTCTATCTCCAAAGCAAATTCCCTTCCAGCTGCAACCCAGTACTGGGAAACACCCACACACTTTCTCATTCATACACACACACACTATGGACTTTTTTTTGAAGAAACTCACATGAACACCGGTAGAACATGCAAACTACACACAGAAATACCAACTGGGACTCGAACCAGCGACCTTCTTGCTGCGAGGCAACAGTGCTAATCACTGAGCCACCGTGCAGCCCAAAACGCGTAACTATAAATGTTGAATGAGAAAATGATAACCATGTATGTGTATACTGTGTATATAAACCAAGTCAACCCAATAAAAAGAAGAAACCCAAGAGAAATGAGCCAGAATTATAAAATTCCTCCAACTTTAATCAGTTCAAAAAGTTTCACAACAAATGCAACACATAATAATAATAATAAAGGGGAAATTCACCATTGATCATCGATATCTGGATTGGTACATTCTTCTTCCTAATGAGAATGTTGGCATTTATGTCGTTTTCTCAGAATAAAAACTTTTGTGTTTTATCTGGACAGGAAATAAAGATAAAAAGCAAAACAAAATACAAAATTAAATGTAAACTGAGATTTATTTTGCTCTACGTAGTGTCCTGCAGCACTACAGCATGGTAAACAATGTAAATTAGTACAATTCAGGAAAGAAAACAACTCCAAAGCAGTCTCCGAGTGAGAGTTAACATGAGCAGTTATAAAGGTGTAGCCTACAAGAACCCATAAATATTTCAACCACTTGTTTTTTTAAACTTCAATTTAATGAAAGCTCACAAAAGGAGCAACCGTCCTCATTGAGGAAAACAAAAAACCTGATGTCGGCTCAGCGACAACACACACGCACACTCGCACACCCACAACAAAACAGGACGAAACATCTGCGTGTTCCCTTGGTAGTAAAGATGCTGTACAGTGATGCTGATATGAACATGTAGAAGCTGCTGAACACTCCTGTGTAGAAAAAAAACGAAAAGCGCAAATGGAGCGCCGCTTCAAAGCAGCATCGATCAGACTGTTCAACTCAGCCATCCGCTTCACATTCTGCTGAGAGCTACTGTAGTCCCAAACCACACCAAACGCCAGCCAATGAGCACGCAGCACCTGTGCAAACTCACCAATCGCAGACATTCGTTGACATTCTCATTGGCTGAATCACACACACACATAAACTGACACGAGGTACCATCTATACCTGCTGTCAGAACGCACACAGCTCCCTGCAAACAAAACAAACTGCACTCTGGTCTTCATATATATATATATATAATGTACATGAACAAATACATGACGTGTGGAAGTTGAAACGAAAAACGCAAAAGCACAAGCGAGTTAACTGTACAGATGTGACACTTCATGCACCGTTCAGGTTACAGTGACCAAACGCAAGCTGTTGACAATGGAAAAGTAATACATAAAAGTGTCTGTATGAAACGCGTACTATGCAAATAGGGCCACTGGGTGACAGCATCGTTTACATATTGGCATCGTTTTGGTCAAGAGAGAGCCAAGTGCGGAAATCACCTCCTCGCATGAAGAGCCTAAGTATTTACACACACACACACACTTAGAGAAAACACACAGAAGAGCAGCCACAACAACACTTTAGTTGTGTGTTGAGCTTGTTTAGGAGTCAGCGCAGTGTGTCTGTGTGTACTGTGTTTGTGTGCAAACTCAGTCACACATCTCTTCTGGTATTTCATGAGGGTTGAGGATGCCAGGCACGGACATCTGCAGCTTGTGTTTCTCCTCCTGGGCCTGACGCAATGATGCCTCCCGCTCCTCCAGGAACAGATCAGATGTGTCCTCACCGGCAAACTCCTGCAGGTACACAGAGAATCCAGTCAGCGGTTTATGGTTGCTCCTAGCACAGATTGATCTCTGCTATAATTGTCCTCTCTCTATCTTTCACACACAGATCTGGTCAGGACGTAATAATGTTCAGGGTTCACACTCTAAACCAAATGGCAAATTCCCTGATATTCAGCTCCTAAAAAGCTGAATATCCATGAACTATAATGAACAGTACACGAGCAGCAGTGTTGAGCAGTCTCTCTAGATCTGAATAATTCCGCAGTCGCTAAATTAAACGCAAAATAAAACATATGGTGCAAAACCTGAAAACAATTTTTAAGTGCTGGAGGTTTTTCCTCGAGATTTTGGCTAACCAGGACACTGTTCAAATTTCTACCATGTCATCTGCATTATTTATTATTATTTTTTATTGTATTTTGCCTAATTACCCTAACTTGCCGACTTAACCTGGTTAAGCCTTTACATGTCACCAGAAAAATATCTTCTAGTCAAATATTATTATCATTATGGCAAAAATAAAATATATTAGTTATTAGAAATGAGTAATTAAATCTATAGAAATGTGTTGATAAAATCTTACTGGTAATAATATAATATATAATCTGTATACCATTTTATGTTAAAAATAATGGTTAAATGTTATATTTTTGATGGTTAAATGACTAATGTGCGCTGGGCTAATCAGTTATTCCATTAAACAGCAGTTTCTTTAGTTATTCCATAGTTACCATTAATAAGGTTCAAATTGGGTTAACACTACATGTTTTTTTTTTTTTTTAGGTGGAGCTGTCATTAGTATGTTTAAAAATGAGGTTCTCAATTTAATGCCCCACAATGACAAAAGTACATATGAGACCATGCATTCAGGTTTAAGTGTTCACCTGGACTGATATTGCACAAAAGTAAGAGAAGGAATTAAGCGGGGACTATCCTTGGTGAATTTAGTCTTGACAGGCTAAATTAAGTTATTCTTTGCAGCTAGCCTACACCAGAGCAGGCTAACAACCAGGCTAAGATTAATCCTAGTGATTTATAATGTTAGTTTTAATGTCAATGCTACTAGAAATGAATGCGTTTTACATATCTTTTTTGTATTACTTATTATTATTATATAGTTGTTTTTTTTTTGATGAAACCTCAAATAAAAGATTAAATAGTCTCAATTATGAAGAAAAAAAGTATAAATGGAAATGATAGATAAATGATTATACTGATAAAGATTAAATAAACTTAATACAATAAAATAAACAGACAACGGGAGTTTCCAGATTGGTGGACAATAGAGGCATTTTTTTAACTCACATCAGGTTTTATCAATATTTGTTATCATTGATTCTGTAATCGATCCTGTAATCTGTTAACATGTGCGTGAATGTACACTCATCCTGGCTATCAACATCAGGTTTGACATAGCGGCTTGTTCTCATCCTGGATAAGCAAATGTGCAATGGACTAAGCCTAGAGGACCTAATTAAACTAGGTCAAGCCGTGCTTCTTCTGTTATCCTGGCTTTCTTGATTTCAATTTTCTACAATAACGCTCAGGATATAAAAACATGTACGTATACACACACACACTCTGTTCCCATGCACTTCAGCTGACCCATACAGTTTCACCACCCTTCATGGTCTCTTAAAAGGTCAAAGTTACAGCACACTTGCTTCCTCACACCATCTCCATTTCCTCCACTCACACCCTCATCTATCATCTGCTCAAATACGTCATTACTACTGACATTGTATTAAAGGCAACCCAATTTATTTAGAGATTATTAAGGCTCTCAACTGGTTTGCAGCTCACCTTGATCTGTACAAGGAAATCCCTCAAGTGCTCCTTGAATGCTGCGATGTCTTGGTTTAAACTGAACAGGCCAGTCACAAATACTTTTACCTGGGCACTACAAAGAGGAAGAAAACAATCATACAGTCAGATTGGAAATGAAACTAGACATGAACAGTTTGCAGACTGTTGCTGCAGAACTAAAACTGTATTAATTAATCTCACAGCAAGATGTCTACTGAGAACAAACAAGCTTTTACCTGAGAGATGTGTTGCATGACATTCAACCAAATGCAATTATCACCAAAACAACTGCAGTTAGTGGATTTACTGACACTGATTTTATTATTAACCTCCTAATGCTCTGAAAATCTGTATAGTACTTTGGTCCTTCTAAACCTAACGCATTAGTATTCCTTTTTCAAAAGATGCAGGTTTGTGAAGCATCAGCTCAGGTGCATTGTGGGATACTCACTCTTGTAAGTGTGGGAAAGCTGATTTAAGCAAGTTGGCCACATACTCCTGGATGAACACTTGGTTGTTGACTGGGTTTGATGGGTTCAGAGTTGTACTGATTTTTCCTTCCTCGACGAGGTTAAACATGTACGCTAATATTGATGCGTGCATAGTTAAACCTAAAGTTTTAATGCAAAAAAAAAAATGACATATATAAGAACTGAATTATAAAAACTAGAGTCAAGCCTGAAATTATTCATACCCAAGCAAATTCTGACCTAAAGCTTTTGTTCGAATGTGAATAAAAGCTGAGAATTTGATGCCTCTTGTACATAGTCCTATTGTCTTTTAGGAGAAGCCCATGTCGCTTCTGTAAAGTAATTTTAAGTCAAAATTTGCCAGGGGTATAAACTATTTCAGGCTTGCAATGATTTAAAATAATTAATAGAGTGTTTTAAGGAGCAAGTGATAGGAGCTGACCGGCTGTGTGTGACGTGTCCGTGACGACAGAGAAGATGTGTTGAAGGATGTCACAGAAGTATGTCTGATAGAAGCTCTGAGCCGCTGCCTCCTCCTGAGCCACATTCTGCAGCAGAGTGTAGAGGATCTGCAGGCCTGCAGGACATTTCACATTGTATGTTATGCTTAATGATTATGGTTTATCAGATATGCATTACGGTACATAAGATATCAGTGTTCTCACCAGTGTCTGCCACATTTCTCATAGTGTGTTTAAAAGCCCATATAATGGAGTCCAGCACAAGCTTAAACTGGGCTGGGGGTATGGCCAAGAATGCAGGGAAACAGTGAGAGTTCACCGCCTGAAGCAGGTAGAAGAAATGCGTCCGGTGCTCTGGGTACTCTTCAAAATCCTAAACAAAAATATAAATGTATACTAGTTATTTAGTTGTTTATTTTTTATATCATGGAAAATAAATGGGGACTATATTATATAATATTTTCCCTTTTTACATCATTTAATAATTTTCTTTTTACGTGATAAACATTTATTAATTTCTGGTAAAATCTTATGCATTTCATTATAAATTAATAAATAAAGTAATAGTACTAGTGTTAAAAGTTTAATAAAATGTGTTTGATGAAAAGCGAATCATAAAAAAGCGAATAATAAATTAATTTATCCATTCATAAATATTAGTACTAGTATTAAAGGTTTTTTTTATCTTTAAGCAAAATGGTTTTTGCAAAAAAAACAACAACATTTGATCAAATATTGAAAGTCTCTTTATGATTTAGGAATTAATTTAGGTAAGGCTTTATTTTTATGGTCCCTATTGCACATTTTGTTGACAAAGTTGCATTGCAACCACATGACAATCATTTCTTATTTGAGTATTAGTAGACTGTCTGCTTAATATCAGTTGATACTGCTGTTTCAACAGACATTAAACTGACTATAAAAACTTTGCAAGTACATATCAACTTAAACTAACCCTTACCTAACAGTCTACTTATAATCTAATGAGAATTAACTGGCATGTAGATGCAATGTTTGTTCAATTCAAAAAAATGCGTTTAAGGGACCATCAAAATAAAGTGATACCGTAATTTATTGTAAGTGAATGTACATAAACCCAGGTAAAAAAGGAATATAATGCAATTCAATGTGGGACACAATCTGCCCCTCGAGGATTTTGCTGGGAAAATTATTTTTATATTTGTGGCGTAAAATGACAGATTTTGTGATGCTTTCTCAAAACCTATGACATTGTGCACTTCAATTCTTGTGTTATGCTGTGAAAATACACAAAAATTTTACAATTTGTATATTTTTGATCTCAAGAACCACTAGATTCAAAATTCTGGAGGGACTGAACAACAAACATGAATATAAGAAGTATGATGCAATCTGGCTTTAATAATAAATGACAATGTACTATTAAATATTTATTTCATAATAGTGATGGATAAACAAATGCAGCTTACTTTGTTGATCATGTTTAATGTGCACTCAAACACTGCATCAAATATCTGTGGGATCTCTCCAGTGATGTGTCCACCCAGTTTGTTTACGATTGTTGCCATGGTGCTGAGGACTTCCGGTTCTCTCGCCGCCGGAACATTGCGCTGATAATCAATGAGCACAGCATCCAGCAATGGAGGGACAAAGTTCTCCCCCACCTAGAGCATGAACAAAAAAAAAAACACACATGCGCACACAGGCTTAAAGGATGAGCGGATAAGTGTGTGTTGCGTAAGGACATCACTAATCTCAACAGGTTCAGACTGACAGACCTGAAGCAGGTAGAACAGCATGATCTGCATGGAGACATATACTGAATTCAACAAACGGACAGATATGAGACTTTCGGCTGCTGCAATCATTTCTTGCTTATTCTAAAATAAATTTTGGCCGTTGTGGAGTCTGGTTTTGCTATATTAAAGATAATGATTTTACTTTGATTTAATCACTGAGTGCTATTTGTGAACACAAGAATGGTTTGATTGGTTAATTAAATTTTCATGGAATGCTCAGATAAGAGCACATTTTTTTGTTTGTTGTTGTTATTTTCTAAACCACATTTTTCAGGGTGTGGATGGATAATTTACTGTTAGCTTTTCTCATTGCTTTTAACACTATTTATTTGTTATTATTCACCAATAATGCTATTTGTTTTTATCCATTTCTCCCATAGACAACTGAATCAAATAGCAAAAACGCACTTCTGCATCGCAATATAAGGTCAATAAGCAAAGTGCATTTCTTATGTTCTGTTACATGACATGTTTTTTTTCCAACAATTTTTTATGTTGCCACTGGATAACATTAAATGCATAGTTAAATATGGATTAAACACTTTCTTTGAGCAATTCCCATGTTATGGATGTGACATTACTTGGCACTAAAAACTTAAAACATAAATGCACAGAGAAAGTACTGTATGTTAACTTTATATTGAAACATCTGTTTATATTTTCCAAAACAACTAAACACAGAATAATAAGATGAGAAAAATATCAATCGGTAAACATTTTTTATATTTTAAAAGATAAAAATAAACATGCGTTATGGATGGGACCAAAAAAAAGTTTACAGTTTACAAAATACTTTGAAGCAGGGCTGCTCAACCCTGTTCCTGAAGATCTACCTTCCTACAGTGTTCAGCTTTAACCCTGATCAAACACACCTGAACCAATGAATTAGGGCCTGAACAGCACTTAATAATTACAGGCAGGTGTGTTTAATCAGGGTTGCAACTGGAATCTGCAGAAAGGTAAATCTCCAAGAACAGGGTTAAGCTCCACTCCTTTGAAGAACGTCAGTGAATTAGCCAAAAGCACAAGCCAAAAGCAATAATGCCATTCAAAAGGATAAGAGTTGGCTCTCTATAAAACAAAATGATTGCTTATGTATGTATATATGTATATATATATATATATATATATATATATATATATATATATATATAATTTTTTTTTTTATTGATGAGGAATAAGCTTTATTATTAAATGTTTAGATGAAGTGTAATAAGTCATACTGGAAGACAATATATTTACTTAATTATTGTTTTATTAAAATATTAATAAATAAACTACCAAGAACTTACATTGAGATTATAATGCTGCTTAAGACTACAGTAACATTGCAAAACAAGTATACTTCTTATATTATTTACAATAATATGTCATTATTATTTATTTATATTATTTTCTTATATTTTTGTAAGTTTTGACAAGTCACTAGTACTACAATTTATATTTTTCCTTTTTCATTCTGAAAAGTGTTAAATTTTGTGGATTTGCTGTGGAGTGAAGAGAACTTAAATGGATGTTTATAATATTTCGAAACATTTGCCTCATTTTTCTGTTTAATGTGAGAGTTGTTTTCCCTCTCAACAATGCAGTTTTAAACCTATGCAACTTACATTCGGTGAGACTTCTTTTCTGGAAAAATATAGAAATATACATTATATATTTAACAACTTGATTTTCTTCTGGACTTCCAGCCTTAATAAAGCTTTGGGTCTCACCATTTGTGGGTCATTAGAGCGGCTGACCCAGCCTGAGATCAGCTTTAGAGTCTCCCTCTTGACTGTGCGCATACTCCTGATGAGTGGCTGCTTGGTTACCATCTCACCTATAAAACAAAACAAAAAAAAAAACAGATAAGCACATACTTAAACAAATCTCTTGTGGTCCTGACTGTATTAATTGTATGTTTACATAATTCATAAATGGTTCAAATAAGCAGATTAGAATTAATAATAATAAAACTATTAATTCAACATTGCTCGTTTTGTGTGAATCTGCAGTGCTATATATAGCTGCTCAAAATACCCTGTAATGGACTGCTGTTCACATACACACATGGTGCTAAGCTCTGTGGCAGCCTTTTGTCTTCCAGCTGAGTGAGTTTGTGTAATCAGACTGACTTTAGTTGAATGCGGATCACTCTGAGGCCCCGTTTACACTAGTGCGTTTTAGTTTTAAAACGGCGTTTTAGAATGAAAACGATCCGCGTCCACACTCGCGTTTTACCCAGCGTTTCTGAACTGCTCTCCGTCCACACCAAAACACTAAAAAAACGCACATCACGTGACCACACACACACACTTTGGCAAGTGCTGCAGCCCATCTACCCAGATGAGAGCTCTGCTAGTCGGACTTCTCATCAAGCATCTCCCGCTGGATCTAATCTCACTATATTTATTAAACGGGATATTTCATTCATCTTGTTGTCTTTATCTAACGACATATTCCCTGACTTTGGTCATTGGAATCTATTACTTGTTCTCAGGTAACGTGTTTTGGCTGAGCGCAAAGATAAGTTAATGATTAATCCATGTACATTCCTGTATATTGATCGCTTGCCTTTATTTCCTATAATGTATAAACTTATTGTATGTGATACTTTTATAATGGCCATTATCGATTATTAAAACTGATATTCAGCAAAAGAGAGGGTATGTTTCGTATTTTCACTGAAATTGAAAGGAGGCAGGTGTTATAGGCTCCGTTTTGTTATAAATATCCACACAGTGAAGATGACGCTCATATATACAGCACGACACCTCAACATGTCTGCTGTCTGTTAAGTTGCTAATATTAAAATAAAAATAGGCAGTTCCTTAAATCATGTTAACATTTTATTGTTGAGAAAGTGAAACAACTTAGCCAGGGTGATGTGAATAAAGTTATAAAATACACTGTTCCCTTTGAAGATTTACCCGTGTCCTCGGTATAGTCTGCAGACTGCAGCCTTAATCAAACTTGCGAAGTCTGAACTTACACGGAGAAGATTCAGGACTGAACTGTGTGTTAGGCTACTTAATATTGAGGAAAAGCCCCAATCAGAGAGGCGAATGTCTGCAGCCCCGCCTTCGTTTTCAGATGTCTCCGTTTTCCATCATCCATACTTAGACGGAGCAGCAGCGTTTCAGAATGAAAACGGCCTCTCCAGCGTTTTCGAAATGCTCCGTTTTTAGGCGCTCGACAACTCCAGCATAGTGTGGACGGATGGCGTAACCGTAGCAAAACTTATGAGTTTTTAAACTAAAACGCATTAGTGTAAACGGGGCCTGAGACAACCAACAGAGATGCAAATACACACATAATCTTAAACTCGTGCCTACCTGTAATGATAAAATCTGCAATGTACACAGAGAGGCTTGATTGCTAAATTAAAAAAACATACCATTGGTCTGGATGGCAGCAGAGATGTTTTCACTGAGGCACTTGTATACGTTGAGCATATCCAGGTATATTCGACCAAGTTGAATGACAAAAGGGTGTCCCACTGCTTTACACGCTCTAACATTGGTCTTCAGGATGCTGCCCAACTGCTTCACTGTCTCCGGGTCCTTCAGAATGTCCACGTTCTACAGCAAGACAACACTATTTACTTAAAGTCAGTTTTACAAATGGGTTTCAAATCAGGGAAAACAGCACACAGTTCTGCTTAATACAAAAGCTTTCTGATTGGCTCTCTGTAATAACCTGAAACTAATTATGATAACTGGTGCTGTTATATTAGTTGTAGTGTGGAATATCACATTTTTTATTAATTTTAATTACATGTTTGTTACTATAAGCTTTTATGGTGTAAATGAACAAACCTTGCTTTCTGAAACTATACACACCTTTGTGGCCTGCTGAATAATGCTGTCCCACACCTGGTTAGGCAACAACATGTACTTCTCTATCAGGTGTTCCTGCACAGCCTGGTCGGTCTGCGCTCCAATCATATACCCAACAGCTTCGTAAAACGTGTGCACCTGAAAACAGGAAATGGTGACTCAAGTCCAGCTGCTTTCCAAGAGCATCTCAATAGTAGTATATTTGGTATATGTGGAACAGTCAGAGTCAGAAAAGGCTAAAGGAGACAGATGAGGTTATCTGGTACCTGCTGGGGCTGCAGGTCACAGATGATGGTGTTGATGTTGTTGAGGATCTCATCAATGAAGGGCATCACCTCCCCCACCTGCACCTGCACAAAATGCCTCCTGCACTTCTGAGCGATCTTAATGAACGTGTCACATGCCATATCCTGCACTCCATCATGGGTTTCTGAGAAAAACAAAAAGTGAAACACCACATGACTACATCAGTCCTTTTATAATTAAGTTAAAATTAGAAGGTCAGCTTAATGTATTATAACCAATGCTAAAATAGCTAAAACAATAGCAAAAAATGTTGAACTTGCTGAGTATGTGTACTGAAATGACATCAAACATGCTGCTATTTTAAAATCAAACAAAAAGATATCACAACTGTGTACAGACACGCATATCTAATTCTATTCTAAGACTCAAAGCCTTTGAAACTCACCATGCATGAACTCAAATAATTTGTTGACAACTGTTTTCAGGAATTTCCAGTGCGCACGTAGGAATCGTGGGTACTGGCCCACTATGTACATGATGTTGGAGGCAATGATGGCCTTATTATCCTTGCCTCTCTTCTGCTCACACAGACCTAGTAGGTCCTGTAGATGACATAGGCATGTTATTATGGTTTTAATGTTATGTTACAGAATTTAACAACAGCTATATAACAGACCTTTGATTAAATAAGTCTGCAAGTCATTGACTTAAACTGATGTTGTCTTCAGGCCACTTAAGTTTTAGCTTATACGATGCTAGGCAACATCTTTCTCTCACACAGATTTAGTCACAATGGTTAAAAAGGTGCAAATTCATGGATGACCAACAGGTATTAGGCAGAAATATTAATAATTAATTAATTATTAAATTAACATAAATAATTAATTACTTATAGTGAGCCTGATGGTGGGGAGTCATTAGGTGTGAGTGATGCATCTGGGCTCATTTCAGCATCATAGCTGATGATTAAAAATAATCATAAATATAAATGTCTTCAAAAAATAGTCTCTGGACTCAAATGCACAATACAGTGATACAATAAACCTTTTAGCCAAATCAAAACAGTAGTCTTGTTCATGGGTAAAGTGTACCCTCTAGCAGTTTTATGTGTTAAAGAGGTCCACACCTTTATGACTGTGACGAGGAACCGCTTCTCATCTTCCTCATGCATGGCTCCACTAATGGAACCAATGGCCCAGCACAGTGTGTTTAGGTTCTTCCAGGACCACTCAGTACCGTTCACCTGATTATGAAGCTTTTCTGTCATAATACGCTCTGTGTCAGCATAGTCCAGATGGGTAAGGTAGACTACAGAGCAAGAAACATATTCAAAATGTGATGGAAACCAACAATAAAGCATAGTTAATTAGACAAAAAATCTGCATTAAAAGTGAAGAATGACTAAGTTCTCACCAAGTGTCTCCCTCATGTTCTTGTATAGATTAATGGAGTCTGTATCCTTCATGAATTCTCGAACCACCTCTCCCTGATCGTTCTCCACCACCAGCACTTCCTCTGGCTTGGCCATGCGGCTGACCATCAACAAACGCACCTGCAGGACAGCGACACACTCACTTATGGGTGCTGCTATCCAAGGTGAATTATTTCTGAGTGGTGTGTTTGTGAGCTAACCTTAGAAAGCACAGGCAGGTAGAGTTGTCTGCGGGGCGGAACATCAAAGTGCTGGCTCCCTGAGAGAAGGGGAGAGGTGGACGTTGAGAAAGGACTCTCTCTGTACAGTTCAGCTGCAAGGTGGTTCCAGTACTCCAAACAGATCTTAAAGATCTCAGTCTCCTCCACTTCTGACACTAGCAACATGTAATGTAGAGCCTAAATGCAAAAACAAATAGACCTTTAACATAATGGCACAAAGGCTGATTCTCCATAATCAACAGTTTGTGCAATTACCTCCATAAGAGTCTCTCTGAGGTTTAGTCTCTTTTCTATCAGCTGTCCGTGCTCTTTGAGAAAGGTGCAGAGGAACAAGCTGAGGTTCTGAATGAAGTTTTGCTCGTCATCTTTACCGTTGGCATACGCCAGTCGGATGTTAGTGTTCAGGGGAAGCATCTTCAACAGAAAATAAATAAAGAGAACATCAGAATGGCCCAAGGCTGACTTGTACATGATAATTTTGCAGCGAAGAGGAAGTTACTTGTTTGAGCTGCATCATGGTCAGAGTGAAGAGATTGACAAACTGCTCTTCATACTGGCTGACGCTGACTCCTGCTATCTCAGTCAAGCACTTGAGGGTCACGTTGCGAAACATTGGAACATTTAAAAACTATGGACAAACCCAACAATTAGTACAACAACTACAGGCTTTATAAGTGTGAAATGCTTTAATGCTCAAAGTTTCTGGTAAGAACTGCAGACAGGTTACCTTGTATACAAGAGTACTGATGAGTTTAGTTTCAAAGATATAACCTAATGGAATCCAGTTGAGAAATCTCAGAAGAGTCTCTAAAGTAGCATGTACCAGTGGAGCGTTCTGAGAATTTTCCTGAGAAGCAGGCAGAAGGAAAAAACGGTGTTAAGCCAATAAAAAACTCAACAATTAACAAAGGTTTGAACAAATGGCTGATTTTAAAATTTCCATATGGTTCAACTTCAAAACTTTACTCTTGAGACATTAAAAACCAAAGACTTATAAACTATGTTCATGGATTTGAAGTTACTTATCGCTGCAATACGTATTGACAGAGAGGAGAGGAGAATGTGTGCATGATTAGGGGAAAAAAAGTCTGCATAGACATTTACAAAAGGGTGCATTTGGAATGTGTGCATTTTTGCAGGAGAGAAAGACGAAATGAAAACAATATGTACCATCACAAACTGGCACAACTGGAATATCTGAGAGAACTCGTTGCACATGCTGTGGATAGAAACCAGAAAACACAACAATACTGATTGAAATCTAAATCTGGCCTCATTTAATAATCATCAAGTTTAAATTAAGACCGTTATTTTCTTCCTCTTTTAATTCAGTCTCACCTATCCTTCAGATGTTTGGCTTTCACTTGTGTCATCTGGCCACTGGAGAAGTCAAACACCTCCTCACTGAGGAGCTTCAGAATGATCATGTTGTTCTGGCACAAGCTCTCACTGGTGCGACTTGCACCCACAATATCACTAATAAATGTGGGCCAGTGTTTAGGCCACTCCTGCTTCAGAATCTATACAGATCACACACAGACATTTTCACAGCAGTCATCAAATGTACACACATTTATGTCAAGTGACATTTTTGTAAACCTGTAGCATTGAATATTTAATGCTAAACAAACCTCACCTGTACCAATATCATGTTGAGTTTTCCAATGTAAACCTTTTCTTTCTGAAAAGAGGCAGAGCATTTCATAAGACAAACAGCAACCACAGAAAACCGCTAAACGATACAAGTGGAATTTCACTAACCTCAACATTAGCTGCATCTGATGATGTCTTGATAATGAGACCCACAACATATTTTTTAATGCCTGAAAAAAAAGCAGCACAGTGAAGAAAGTCAATGCTTGCAGTTAAACTCCACAAAGGCCCATGAGCTTTCCAGTCGGATGGAAGCAGCTCATCTCGGAGGACTTGTTTCTGTTTGTACATCAGCATATTAAAGATTTGTAGCATTTCTCACAGATGAACAAACAAACAAAAAAAAGGCTAGCTGCAACTGAAATCAAATACTGCTTTATAATTAACATATTTTTATTTATTGAAATCATTCTAAAAATCACTGTTAAATCATAAAATAAGCTTTATTTTTTTAATAAACTAGCCTATGAATAGGTGTTTGTCATTTTTTGTTTCACGCCATGCTTTAAAAAAAGAGACTCTATCCTTTTTGGAAACAGATGAACATTAAGCCGAGCAGACGACCTTCCATGCATTTTTAAAAAGGGAATTCAGCTCAACTTGGCAATCACACACTTGATTCTAATGAATGTCTTGGCCTGCTAGAAACGTCTTGTAAAGTCAAGCCTGTCACAGAGGGAAACGTTGACTTCTACATTTCAATGATCCCTCGCTTGTCCAAATCCAGCCTTTGAGCTGCTTATGACTTAAGAATTGATTTAGACTGGATATTAATTACTTGTTCATGTCAAAGTGGCGAGGGGAATTTTTGTGAGTCACTCTTACCTTCGCACTGGTTTCTGGGCAGAATCTTCCATCTTGTTTTAATAACTGTTTCCAGAATCTGCAGAGCATAGTACTGTAATGCCAAGAGAACAAATCAAGCATTAATGACCCAAGCTTTAACCAGCCGATCTGCCAGAGCTGCACAAGGAAAACAAAAAAAATTGCTCTTAACTTTGACTGCCTAATACATTTCCACATATTCTTTTTGATTTCAGATTGAAAACAAAAAACATCATGCAGATTTGACTTGAGTGATAATTGTTGTAATAAAGAACTCAAAAAGGAGAACAAAAAAATCATTCATAATCCCCCATCAAAATCCTAAACAATGTTTGTATGAGATTCTGCAGAAGTTTTGCTGTTTCTGGCCGTGTCACACCAGAATGTGAAAGACAAGAAAGAAGGCATTAAATGGCAAACAGCTAATGGTTTGCTTCTCTGCCCGGCCGGAACGACGCAACAACTGTGTTCGAAAACAAAAAGAACCGTAGAATTCTTTGAAATGCTTTAAACGTCAGCGATACGTTTTCTCATTGGTCGACTACTGACCACATCCCTTTCTGTCTTAAAGTGACACTACTGTTTCCACCAATAACTGGTGTGGGTCTCAAAAACAGCAAGACGAGCCACAGGTTTGGATCTATAAAACTACCTTAAAATGTTTTACATGCTGCTTTTAAGAAAGTATTCATGGTGCATTAGTGTCCTTGTTATGGTCACTAGTGTTATTAGGATCATCAGCATTTCGACTGTAGGGATTAATAAGAAGAGGCAAAAAACGTGAGACAAAAATGTTAATGTGTTAAAGGAAAACAGAAAATACTGATGACAGAAGGATATTAAAGGTTGAAGGCCTGGAGAAATAGGTTACTTGCATATGCAAAGATTTCAGGGTTTCTGCAGGTTTCACCAAGTTAAATTTAAGACTTACGACATTTTTAAGACCATTATCAATGAAACTCAAAAATGGGCTAAAGACTTAGGCTTTTTTCAAATGGCCCAGATTAAAAATATTTTTATTTGACCTATTAAAAAAACATATTATAATTTAATACATTTAATAATACAATAATAAATAACATTAATAATAAACAATGAAATAAATTAGATTTTATTTCTTAGCTAAATAATTTAAATATTGTGTAAAAACAAGCAAGCTCTACTTTCCATACACTTTTTTTCCAACATAAACTTTCTTTTAAAAAAAATAAATGAACAAAAGCTTTAAAGTTTTAAAAACAAATTATAAACTTAATCTATGCGCAACATTCCAACAGTCCAGGTCGGTGTCATCAGCAGAAAATACATGAAGAATTTTAAACAAATGTTATTGTAAAAAAAATTATTAAACCATTATGATAAATAGAGTTAAAAATGACCTCTATAAAGAGTTTAAAGTTTTACTGAGATGGATTCTTAGTGATTGTATGGGTTTTGGCTAGATTGGGTAGCAATATATGAACAAAGAAAAATTAAGACCTGTTTAAAAAACATTTAAGACCTACAACATAATATTTCAGTAAATTGAGATGTAAGATTTTAAGACCCCACAGAAACCCAGTATTTCACCCAATGAAAATCACCAGTAGGCGTTCACCTTTAATTGTCCCAAGAATTCAAATAAATATTAACATTGCAACAGCATGCAAAGTATTATATTTTGACTGCTCACATGTGATGTTGCAACATTTCTTGGTGCATGATTGGGAGAAAAATTACAGGGCCAGGATAGAAATGCAGAAATGCTTAGGGAGAAAACGGATTGCACAGCACAGACACTGATAATCCCTACAGTGAAAATAGCTGTAACCACCCATGATTGGGGTAGAAATAAAAATGGGGTAAACTGCCTGCCTATCTCCCTGTCGTCTCTCAGCTCCATATGAGGCATGTGCAGTGTGAATGGAGGCACAGCAGAATTGAGAGTAAGGGAATGAAAAGGTAGACCTTGTGGAGGCCTGCCGCCAAAGCCTAGCTGTGTCAAGGTGCACAGGAAGACACACCCCTTTTCGTCCTATTACAAGCAATCAACATAATGGAACATTGTGATTAATATCAAATATGAACAACTTCAATTAATTGAATTTGTTTGCTTTTTCACCGACTGTAAAATAAATTAAGCAAAAAGCCAAATGTTCAACAGCACTTTAAAGCGCTCGTTCTGTATTTTTCTTGATCAATTTAGACAAATTCAAAGAATTTACCTGCTCTGTATTTTTTCCTGTCTGTTCCTCTAGAGGCCTCACTTTTGGGCCATTATCATTTTGATATTATCGATACTGTTGATAAATCAACTCAAACATTAGTAATGACCAGAGTGTTAAGAGCAATCTTAAAAAGGCAAGCAGACGGCAAACTGGGTCAGCAGTACTTTGAGGAAGTCTATTAACACAGTGAGGAAAACCATTCATCCCAAATACAAAAAAGACTTAAGGTTTTATCAGTGCAGAAATGTTTACTTGTAAAACCAGAAATTGTACATGGATCCTCTGCTTTCCTTTATATAAAAATAATAAAATAAGAATTCATGGATCACTGTTTTAATACATCCTGACCTCAAACAGTCAGTCATCAAAGCACCTCTGGCTGCTGTACAGATGGAGGTACAGAGGCATTTCACCGTCAACAGAGGATCCTCACACATCAACTTTAACTCTGACTTTTCTTGACCAGGAAACGAATGCGAGGAGAGTGAAGGAAAATGTGATCTCACATGTGCACAAAGGAATCTGTTTCTGACTTGATGCTAAGCAACCCCAGTACGCTTAAAAAAGGGTCTTGCTTACATAAGGCAACCTTCCTGGTTCGAAAGAAAGAGCCAAAAACCAAATTGTGATTTTGTATGATGTGTGATAAGAGATCAGATCTTCCTCAAAGTATAGAAACCATGACCCACCAACTGGAGCAAGTTGGGTCTCTGCTTACTTTGGTGTTCATGTTTTGAGAGAACTCTAGAATGGTGTCGACTCGTGTCCACGCATCTGGGTGCTCCTTCAAATGAGTCAGCACCTCCTGGGCCATTCTTTGCTGAAACAAAAAAACATTCATCTTAACTTGTATAACACTATGGTGCAACAATATACTGGCTGAGTGTTAATGATGTCAGTGCATTCACTAATGTATATAGTAAATAAACAAACACTGCCATTTAAAAAGTGACATATATATATTTGTACAATTGTAAAAAGCTGCCAACTTTTTATATTATTTTTGAGTACAATTTATTTCTAAGATGCATTTTGAATTTAAACGAAAGAAGAATATTTTCAGTGGTAACAGAATGTCACAGTAAGGTTCCTCATGTAAAAATACATAATTTCTGCAAACCCTAAGGATTTTAAATAACTAATAAAAATAAATTAATTCAATTTAATCCAATTAAACAAAATTTTTCATTTGTTTGTTGTATTGTTAAGCTACACAAAAGTAAACTCAAATTTAATGTTGTAAATGAATCTGTTATATATATATATATATATATATATATATATATATATATATATATATATATATATATATATATATATATATATATAAAACATACTGTCACTCAACAGATAGAGAACAATGCAGAATACATCAGTGAGCAAATCGATGCAAAGGCAGGTGCAGATTTACTACCGTTTTCTGCATGAACTAGGCCTGAACGATTTGTCCTAAAACCTAAATCTCGATTAATTAAACATTTTAACTCGATTACGATTAATGAAAGATTGTTTAATTTATTTGTTTTATGTTTTTGCCCTCATAGTTCACTGACAAGTTTTGTACAGTAAATGTGCTCACATATTACAAGTGAGAGATTTTTGATTGTGCATTACTTGATTAAAATTAAAGGAAACACACACTATCTACTGTCTATGATTATTTATTGAACATCAATGTTGAACAACTGAGATAAAGACAAACAGTGCCTAAAACGCGGCTCTCCACGCCGCGCACCCACGTCACCTCTACCAAACTGACCAATCACAAAGCTTGTGCAACGTGTCGTTGTGACGCGCAATTACATTTTTTTGAGAAGTGTGCAGGTATGTGAACGCTTTGCTGGACTGTATGTGCCCTTGGCAGAAGTATAAAATGGAATATAATAGGATTAATTGGCCTTGAACAAGCGGGGTCACGTAACTCAACACATGGTAGGGAAAGTAATTGAAAAAATTTACCTGGAAAAATTTGATCAATTACAGGTTCTAAATGTCGATTTCGATTACTTTTCGATTGAGCTCCATTGTGTTATAAATGGAATTATGCTTTCATTGTAATTTGTTTATCTTAAAATGTTTTGAAAAATCATGCATAAGTTCATATGATTAAATTCAAGATATATTAATAAATATTTATTTTTTTAAATAAATCAGGAAATTATCCACTGCCATTTTGTAATACATTTTATTAATCTTAGGTCCAAAATCCATAATTAAGTTGGCCCATAGTTATGTTTGGCCCTTCATTAGAAAAGGTTAGGGCGTTCCTGACCTAGATGATCTCACCCAACTACATTGAATAGGTGTCTAGGAATCTATCAATCAATCTATCAATCAATATATCAATCGAAATACATCATTCAACATCAACACAAAATTTAAATGAATTGCTTTATATATTTTTAAATGCATTTGGATCATATAATTGTAGTTATTTTCTTGTTAAACTCATCAAGTACACAGTTTTGTACCTTTGTTTTCATCAAGTTTTCATAATCATCTTCGCTAGTAATATTGTAAATTACCTCAAAGTAGCTTGGTTCCATTAACGAGTTACATGATGTTTTATTTTAAAATACACTGCTGGTAAAGTGCAGACAGGGTTATATTTATCCAGTCTTTTGTCAAATGATCACCAAATTAATGCTTATTTCAGGACTCTTAGAATAATACTTTCCCTTTCAATCCATTTATTGTTATTTGTATTGACTATTTTATTATTTGATGTGCACTGGATAATTATCAGCTAATGTTATGTTATATCTTCAACACATACATCTGGTGCTGTATTTACCAATTTGTAAAATGATCTTACTTACCTGTGGCCCAACTCCATGGTACAGGCAGTTGACCACATTATCCAGCAGGTTGATATCCAATTTCTGGTTAAAGTCCAGCAGCTGTCTGGCTGCGTGGTCGGCTAACATTGTCATAATTGCTGGCATAGAGCTCTGTAGGGGACAGGGAGGAAACATCTAGCAGGGGCAAAGTCATGTCAAATGAACATATGGGTACAAAAATCCAAACAGCTGACCATTACGCCCCTCCCTCAACCAAACTCGGGATCACCCAAAAAAGCCTTATATGTTCTAGCCTGTCAACACAGTAGTGCCTAATGGAGGGTTTAATCCTTAATAACAATAGGATAGGTTGGTGGCGTGATAAAGGTAACATGTTTGCAGCTTGGATATCCTGATGTGTGGAGAAACAAGAGACACTCACTGGGCTCATGATCATCACACCAGCCATTATTCTCTGAATGAGACCACGTGCTAGGCAGCCCTTTCGCTGACGACATTGTTTACATATAACTAACAGAGGCGTAGCGTTACCGAGCGCTCTGCGTTAGTACACACTTTCTTTCTACTTTCATAAGACCACAACCACAAGACCTAATGCTGACTCGTAGTAGACTGAAGGACACTTGAATGGCCATTGCTCAAGCTAATTCAATTTGTACCCCGAAGCCAAACTGTTGCGTAACGAGGTAAGCATTACGGCCAAGAACCAAAAGAAGTTTGGCATCGGAGGAAATTTCAAGAATTTATTTGGACACGACAGTCAAGCTTTATGAGACCACGGGTCTCGCAGGCATAAACAAAGTGATGTGGTGTGCCATAACTAATCGTCAGTACTGCGCAACCTGTTGATTTACCCTCCTTTTCCACACATCACCTTATTTCATTCAGTAAGCTGTGACCACAATAGGATCTGTAACCCAACATAGAGCTACTAAGCATGCACACGTTTTCAAAACACAACTGGGTTGGACTAAGATAATGCCGCTTATGATGTTCTAGTTGTGTTGATATAGACTAGAACCCCTAATAATGCGTCGCTGTACATGACAGCAACTGCGTATGCATACAATCATACAAAAGCGCTTGAATGGACGCTTTAGCGCGCGACTGACGTTAAAACGTCCAAGCAAACACCTCTTCCATGAGAAAACACTGACGTTTCTGACGGACTACACCCGTTTTTGGATGACTTCTACGGGGGTGACTTTGCAAGGATCTCCCTCGCTGACTCTGGAGCAACCCCTCCCACCAACAGCATGCTCTGCACCCTACACCTGAAAGCTCTGCAGGCTTCACCAGCAGTAAACCAGGTAAGTAACACACTGTGGGTGCGTTATACGCGTTTAAATAACTAATGCTTTGGCTCTGGAACAGTCCGGAATGCGGTTTACAGTTGAATGACGCTCGCTAAACCCAAACAAGCGAGCTGCTGAAGTCTAACGTTAGCTCGTGATCGGAAGCGATGCAGTTGTTATTGTTATGATGTTACGTGAGATTAAAACTATTTTTCAAACGAACAAACCCCAAATATAACGTTACCATTTAGTCCAGCGTGACACCAGGAGCCATCACGCCACACACCCGCAACATCCAACAAACACTCAGCAGCACAACCAGCTCACTTTCTTTCGACTTCAACCTCCATACGTGCAATTTCTATTCATTTCAACACAATCTCACAGCATCATCATTCTCCAAACCAACCCAAGCACTCTAACTAGAAGTTTGCACCCCAAATTTACCTACCTAAAGTCCAAGCCTTTGAGAGAAAGAAGGTGGGCTTGTCTGCCAGAGTTGCTAAAATAATGTTTATTTGATCCAGTATCGCTGGTGCCTGTTTGTACACGCTTTCTGGAAAAAAAGCTTTAGGATGAGCCGTTGGCTGGTCAGCCACACTATTCCTCTGTGAAGACTACACGAGCTAGTAGCTTGATTTAAGGACCACTAGGATGTGAATTCCGCACCATCAATCACGGCGAGTTCAGTATTTTCTTACTCCGGTTCATTTTACGAAACAAAGTTAACCTTATTTCAGAAATGTGCTCTATACTTAAGTATATTTTGCACCAGGGCGGTATTAGAGTCTGAGCCTGTGCGCCTCTTCTTCTCACAAGCAACAAACTCGTAACCGGTTGAAACCGGTTCAGACTGGGAGATTCCATCTCGGTTTAGTTTTCAGCCGATGGCGCCGCGAAAAGTTTGGATTAACGTCACGCCCATGGCGGCCTGCTAATGGCCGTTGCGTTGCTAAGCACGTCCTCGCTCACACACCATTGGACGGCGAGCACGTCAATCAATCTATACTCTTTCTAGCGCCCACGCGACCGCTCCGCCCGTTTGGAGAAAAAGAAGGCAAACTGCGTGCAGAATGGACCTGTAATTCCTGATATTATTGCTCTCGTGTGTTTTGTTACTATTGTAAGGAAAAGCTAGTTTTAGCGTTAATAGTAACGTGTTTTGCACGACTCCGTCGATAAACATTCGCGTTTATATCCGCCGCGAGCTTTAATTTGATATTCCCCAGCAGTGCGCGTCTGATAATTGCATACATGCTCGGGAAAATGAATTTCAGGGTGGACTGAAGGAGATCGAGGGCATCGAGTCCGTGAGGCGGATGTTGGAGCTTGTACTTGTGCTGATTGTAAGCTGGTAATTTTCCACGAGCCACGAAGGGGAGTGGTTGTTCAGAGTCATGGTATGAGACGCATGGCATGGGTCAGAGCTTGATACAATTGGCTTGTGATGGTCTCCATAAACTTAACTACCGCGAAATTGACTCCGGTATGGTTGTGATGGATGATAAACGCATCGAATCGCTCAAAAACATCATTATAAACAATCGGCGTGCTGTTTCATACAGACGTCAAACGCTCGCATGTTCACCCCCTCTTCGCTAGTCACGTGACGCAACGCCACTTAAACGTCAGTTGATGGAAAAATACTGGATTTTGTGTGCGCAAACTAATGTAGTGCCTGAACTGAACAAAGAATGAGAACAAGAATACATTGTCCTCTAGTCGAGCTGTCATTTAGGCTTAAATAAAACTTCGTTCCACAAGGTCACAGTGTCGAAGTCTTTCCGTTTAGTCCAGCATGTGGTCAGTATTACACACCTTCTGAAATGGCTAACTAAACAAGCAGTGTTACTGCACTTTAGGAATAGTAATTTTGTAAATGATATGCCCAACAACTGATCTCCCTTTTAGTAGAGGCCAGCATTTATTCCAGTGTTAGCTGGTGTTTAATTCAGCATTGCTGTTTTGTGCATTTAAATTGCTCCAGGTGTGATTTGATAATCAGCTGTTGTGTGAATCAGATCTATATTCATTACCTTTTGTTGTGTTTTATTATATGCCGGTCACATGCCGATGTAAACTTTGGAAGAAGAGATCAGTATGATGTGGCTTGAATGAATGTTTGTTTGTGAATCGTGTCTCAGTGTCTAGAAGTTTCTATGATATAGTTACTCATGTTTTCCAGGAATCAGAGTCAACTACTTTGTAACCCCTGTTCCAGTTTCTTTCTTTACAGCAGGTTTCCTGAAGTAATTAATAGATAGAGAATGGGTGTGTTTGGATAACACAGAGTAATATGTTGTGTTCAGTTGTGTGTCTTGTATTTAGTTTGAATTAAAGTGACAGTTCACCTGAAAATTAAAGAAGAAATTCTTCGTTTAAAAAATGTTGGAATACTTTGGAGGTCAACGGCTGCTGGGTTTTCGACATTCTTCAAAATGTCTTCTTTTGTGTTAAGGGTAATTATGAGAGAATTGTTTTTAAATTTTAGGGTGAACTATTTCTTTAAAACTCCACTTACACTTACTCTTTTAACGTTCACACATGGTGAATGTGCTCTTATTTTAGAAATGATAAGAAATCTCTTGTGTTTCTCAGGCTATGACTTCACTTTGTGTAAAAGAAAACTCACCATGCTTCCTTTCTTTGTTGTCTCAGCTGTTTTGAATTATTTTGAGAAATACAATAAAGCATTGAAACTTCTCTGGAAGTCTGGTTTTGTTTATTGTGGGTTCCTGATCATGCATATGTACAAAGCATCAAAAGTATAACAGTGGCTGATGTGAAAACCTTGTATGCTTCCTATATTAAAGTGTGCCATTAATCAGCTCATTACAGAGGGTCTGAAAGTTAACAGGGTCAGGGGGCGAGTGAAAGAGGTCGTCCTGCCGAAGTGAGCTTAGGAGGGCTACACGTGCACTGTGGCACATACATGTGAATGAAATGGGCTGCTCTGTTTGGATTGGGCTGGATTGAGCCCGTTCCCACCGGTCCTACTAGTTCATTTACATGCATTATAATGACATCACCTGCTCCTCCCCTGTTTGACAGTTGTCATACTTGTGGTGTTTATGTACTGTCTAATAAACTGTTAATATTGCCTTATTTATTGATTACATTTTTTTAAATTATTGTTTAGCAAATTGGTCACTATAGACAAACAATAAAACTAGACTGTAAAAATCCTGGTCGTCTTAAATTTTTAAGCTAAATGAAATTAACCTTATGAGTTCATTAAACTTGTTTTGTTGAACTGACTTAAAACAACTTGTGCAACTTATACAATTAAGTTGGAACTTGAATAACTTAGTTGAATAAGTTATAATGAACTAAAAAAACACTATTATGACAAATTGATCATGTTTATTTTTTACAGTGTAGTTACTTGAAATAAAATAGAAATCATTTACTCACCCTTCCCTTGTTCAAAACCTATTTGATTTTCTTCCTTCTACACCAAAGAAGATATTTTGAAAAGTGCTGGTTGCTGGTCCCCATTTACTTTAACAGGAATCTTTTTTCCTATTAAGGAGTTTGATGGGTGCCGGGCAGCAACCAGCATGTTTCCAAATATCTTGTTTTCATCAGAAGAAAGAAGCTCATAAATGCTTTTAAAAAAATTAAGGGAGGATACATGAGATAGCAAGTTTTTGTTTTTTTGAGTGTACTTCCTCTTAAAAAAATATCAAAAACTAAATGTATTATAGGGTGACAGGGTGGCTGAGTGGGTAGCAATGTCGCCTCACAGCAAGAAGGTCACTGGTTCGAGACCAGACTGGGTTAGTTGGCATTTGTGGAGTTTGCATGTTCTCCCCGTGTTCATGTGGGTTTTCTCCAGGTGCTCCGGTTTCCCCCACAGTCCAAAGACATGCAGTATAGGCAGGGGTGGATTTAGTGATTTTAGGGGTCCTAAGCAAACTCCAGCCATGGGGTCTCAATTCCTGAAATGCCCCTTTCTACTTTTATTAAATTGTAATTAATTCAGCTTTTTTTATGTCACTTAATCTTTTTTCTTTACATTAACTTCACATTTTAAATAATTAGACGTCTCAAAATGAATTTACAACTAAAAATAACACTAAATATATATATATGTATATTTTTTTTATTTGACAGCAGGACTGCTTCATGTGGTGGATATTTTTTCTTAATATTATTAAGTAACATTAAGTTTTTATAATATATTTTATTGTATAATAAATAATATTTAATTATGTAAAATGCATTTGTTTGATTCTCATTATACAAAATATGATAGAAAATTATGAAGTTATATATAGTTTATAGGTGTAATTTATAGTTCTAGATATTTATTGTGGGCCCCCAGATGTCCTTAGGCCCTAAGCGGCCGCTTACCTTGCCTATTGGTTAAATCAGCCTCTGGTTATAGATGAATATAAATAAGCTAAATTGGTCATACTGTATGAGTGTGTTTGCAAATGAGCGTGTATGGGTGTTTGTTTCCTAGTGTTGGGTTGCAGCTGGAAGGGTATTCTCTGTGTAAAACATATGCTGGATAAATTTGTGGTTCATTCCGCTGTGTTGACCCCTGATTAATAAAGGGACTAAACCGAAAAGAAAATTTACTGGATGTAATTTATTTCATTTTCTGGCAAAGGAAATGTTTATGTTTATTTAGTTTAACCCAATGTACTAAAAACTAGATTTTTTAGACTATTTTTTATGTGTGAACTTGAAAGCTGAAATCAATCTACAATTTAAAAAAAATATCAACAATACTAAGATAATTGACAGATGGTCAATAAAGGCAAATGTATTGTGAAAAATAAATACAAATAATTTGACAACAAAATCAGAGTCACAAAGCTTTAGATATGTAATTTGAGGCATGTTTTCATAAAGGAATGAAATAATTTACATTAATTATTATTATTTACTATTTAACTTGTGGACTGCATACTAATGTATGATCCGTTATTTGTTCTTGCCTGGTTATTTGAAGCAGTGTATTTCTAATGGCGGTCACTATAAATAGCCCTGTCCTTCTTGAGAGGTGAACTTCATGACAACAACACAGACACAGACAATGAACGAGGCCTTTTGCTGCACTGGAAGTTTGGCTTCGCGAGGAACATGTTCAGGTATAAACAGCTCCGTCTAGTGGCCATAATACAACAAAAACAGAAGCCATGACTTGTTTTCATCAGTGCTTCATGCCGTCGACGGAATGTTTACGATTTCAACAAGTAGTTATTAGTTATGAAACTTAGCTTTAAAGAAACCGAATGTATTTGTTGCGCATATATGTGAACAGGTGGATGTAAATAGTGTCAGAACTAATATACCTTAACCCAAAATGGTTGCAGTAGCCTATACTGGCAGACTTGAAATAACAAACCCGTGCCATTCAAAACAAAAGCACAGCACTAATGCCAACACAACATTTGCCACAAGTAACAATAGACAAAAGAGCATTGAATGATTAGGATGTGACCTTTGGCCGAGCACTGAGAGACTGTCCACCACCTTTAGCCTGGCTCTGCTCAATCCATGCTCTTTCTGTTTTTTTTCCACTGGATTCCTGTCAGATGTAGGTTTTACCACAGACTTTTTCCAATAGAGATAACAGTTCATGAAGAATTTACATGCAACCATAGGAATCTGGTTTCAGAATATCAATAAACTATGCCAATAAGCATTATGATATGACCATACTGTTATATTTTATCTGAGTACAAAAGAAAAATCTATATTTACCGATATTATTAAAGAAAGAAAAGTTCAAGCATGATCCTTCAAACATTCTCAAACAATGGCTTTATTAAAAGTTGCTGACACTATAAAAATATACTTTTCCCTCAAGTTCATTGACTACCAGTTCAAAATAACTGTGAAATAATTAGATAAAATTGGTTGAGCTAGGACATTTTCACAGTATTCTGGAGAAAGTCGTATTTGTTTTATTTATTTTTTTAAAACCATTTTAAGGACAATATTATTAGCCTCTTTAAGATATATATTTTTAGTCTACAGAACAAACCATCATTATACAATATACAACTTGCCTTATTACCCTAACCTGCCTAGTTAACCTAATTAACCTAGTTAAGCCTTTAAATGTCACTTTAAGCTGATAGAAGCGTCTTGAAAAATATCTAGTAAAACATTTTGCACTGTCATCATGGCAAAGATAAAATAACACGAGATGAGTTATTAAAACTCTTATGTTTATAAACGTGTTGAAAAATAAACAAGGAAAACTAATAATCCAGGGTGGCTAATAATTCTGACTTCAACTCTATGTTTAACTATACACTCTTATGTACATAAACATATGTTTTGCGACAAAAATTCTTATTTTTTTCGATTTGCATGATTAATAAATAAAAATGAACATTCAAAAATGATATTAATATTAAAAGCATGAAAGAATATCTACTAAAATATTATTTACTGTCATCATGGCAAGTAAAAATAAATCAGTTAATAGAAATAAGTTATTAAAACTATTATGTTTAGAAATGTGTTGGAAAAATCTTCTCTCTGTTAAACAGAAATTGTGGGAAAATCAAACAGACGGGCTAATCATCATGACTTTACAACATAATGACCAAATCATAACATTCATTCATTCATTTTCTTTTTCGGGTTAGTCCTTTTATTAATCTGGGGTCAGCACTGCGGAGTGAACTGCCTACTTATCCAGCACATGTTTTACGCAGCGGATGCCCTTCCAGCTGCAACCCATCTTTGGGAAACATCCACACACACTCATAAAATACCGAAATTTAACTTTGGACTGTGGGGGAAACCGGAGCATCCGAAGGATAAACCCATGCGAACTCAGGGAGAACATGCAAACTCCACACAGAAATGCCAACTGAACCAGCCGAGGCTTGAGCCAGCGACCTTCTTGCTGTGAGGCGACAGCACTACCTACTGCGCCACCACGTCACCTCAAATCTTAATATTAGAATGATATCTAAAGGACTAAGTAAAGTGTTTGGCAAAAATAAAATTCTATTTTAAAATACTTTATAAGGTGAGTTATATCAAAATTCTAATATTTCACAGTATTTTTAAACAATTACATGCAGCCTGGGTGAGCAGAGGTCATACAAAAAAAAAAAACACTACAACATCTGAATGACTTCTGGAAACAAAACAGGAACGTAAAATGAGAAATAAAATGAAAACACTGATGCACCGCCTGTTCTGCTTCCTCAGACCTGTCAACTCTTCAGAGTAAGAGAGATACACAGGGCTCCTGGAAAGAGAGAGATATGTCGCATTGAATACTGGGGGGTTGTGATGGATCTGGTTCCCACCAGCAGAGAGGGAATTAACACATGATCATTTGTGATTCTGGTTGGCAGGAGGCCAAGTACTGTAACCCAACCTGTCTGAGCTCAATCAAACTCCATCAACTGCCACCAAAAACAACTCTTTCACCTTTACACACCCACACACACACGCGCACACACACACACACACACGCGCGCATTTCTACTTCCCTTTCTGAAGTTATGATGATAACAGTCATGTTGAAAATCTGCTTCAATAATATCATGAGATATACAGTGATCATGAGATAGTTTTGCAAATGAAAAAAAGTATTAAGCAAAAAATGTTTAAAAATGCCTTTATAATGCATTTAAGTGTATTTTTGTTTAAGTATAAGCTTTCTGTTATAATGTCTATGGGTTCATGCCACATTTCATTTGACACATCCCCCC